AGCAGTGAGAACTAGAGCTGCTGGATCTCCAGAGCTGTGTGGTGCAATGGCCAAGCTATGTGTGGGCTCATCTGCACTGTGCCCTTGGGCTTGTGCTGAGCAAGGGCAGCACCAGACCGGGCAGATGTGCATGTGCAACCAGACAGATGTTCCCCGGGAGCTGCAGCCTTTGAGGTTGCCAGAAAATGGCAATAGAGCAGGATGAGAGCCTTGTGCTGCACATGGTGGGGACCCGCTGTCCTGGGCTGGAGCAGGCCAGCAGGCAGCTTGTCACAGCCCTTGCCAAGCAAATCCTGAAGGAGAGTCCCTGGTGCTCTCTGATCATATCAGTTCTCCTTAGCCCCCACTGGGTGTATTTTACATAATTTGTTTCCCAGAGTGAAATGTGTTACAAATGCAGCATTTAATCACCTTGTAAAAAGGGATGAAAAACTAGCTGCCTCCTGGGGTAGCAAAGAGCTGAAAGGGAGTCTAGAAATGAGTGCACACGCTCTGCCCGTGGTGCTAGCTGGGCTGCAGAGCCCAGGGAAGCAGCTGGTATTTGCCTTTGCAGGGAGGATGTGGAAGGGAAGAGCCGGTGCCAAAACGGGCAGGCACCGAGATGTCCAAGCAGGACCGGTGCCCAGGCTCCCACGCTGGGCACCTTCGCCAAGGCAGGGAGGAGGTGGCCTGGGTGCTGTCAGAGCATCCCCGAGCCAGCTCTGTGACTGCTCTTGGAGGACAGCTCTGTGCTCCCCTTGTGCCTGGTCTCATCCCAGACACCATCTCCCCTCCCTGATGAGGGTGTGGGTTTCCTATGGGTCAATGAGATCAGTCCGAGTGAGTGTCGTCGGCGCTGGCCGCTTTGCAGAGAGCATCTCCGAGCGGGACCAGGCTCTTCCTTGGCTGCTCTTCAGTGGAAGGGTCGCCCATGAGCTGCGCTTGTTCCTGGCCCCTGCGGATCCATCAGGGCCTTGCTGGGCAGTGAAGGACAGAGTAAGCAATGGGCCCCGGGTGCCCTGCTTGGGTTTTGCCTGCGTGTCGTGGACAGCCTGTGCTAGGGCTGCTCCTCTCGCCGTAGTGTTTTAGTGACAGCAAGGGGAGGATGAAAAATCAGAGTAATGCCCAAGGAGACAGTAACCACTTGACTTCCCTTCCCAGTGGTGCGAGCAATGAATCTAGTGCAGGTTTCGCAGTGGAGTAAGAGCCTGCGGCAGCCCGGGGGCCGTGGGGGACCCGCCGTGTCCCTCCTCTGCAGCATGTCAAGGCGCCACCACCCTGGGCGGGCACCACGTGCAGCCTGTGATGGGTGCCCCCCTCTCCCCTGTTATTTATTATGCTATAAAACCCAAGGCAGTGACCATCAATAAACGTCGCAGGGATTCCATGCGTGTCAGCTGCGGGTTTGATGCAGCGGGCGCTGTGCTGGGACGTGACCGGCTCTGTGAGTGGGACCCGCTGTGATTGATGCTGCAGCCGTCAGCCGGTGCGGGGCTCCTGCTCCCCATGTGGTGCCGGTTCCTGGTCCTTTGAGCTCACACGGCCACTGTCCCCAAGGAAGGTTTGGATGCTGGGGGCTGCTCAGGGGCTGCAATTCCCTGCTGGGTGGTTTTCTCAGGGATTCTTGCGCTGGCCGTCGGGCTGTGTGCTTCATGGGGAGAGGTTTAGGCAGGAGGTGGCAGGAGGTTAAACATCAAACTTGCTTGAAGCAGGAGCCCCAGATCCTGGTCTTTGGGATTAGTTCAAGTTAGTTTTGAAGACAGTCCAATTTCTTTCCCATAGGTACCTGCTTTCCACTGGAGCTGTTCCTTGTCTCCTAGAAGGCTGTTCTAGTTGAGCAGATCCAGCTCTCGAGGGAGCAGTCCCTGTCATCGCTCATCACTGGATTTCCGGACTTCTCTCCCCTCATGCTCGTGGGCGATCACTTCCTCCTCCTCCCCTTTCCCTCTGTCTTTCTGCAACATCACAGATTTGGGAAGGACCATCTGCTGATTTGATTAATGGCCCTTTTCTGAAAAAGCAACAGAGACAAATGTCCTTCTGGACACCGCAAAGAGGAAGGGAGAAACAGGCTGGCTAATTTTGAGCCATTAGTTTGGAACCCAAACTCCTTCCTAGTATCAATTTAGCTATTATTTCAAAAACTAATTAATCTTCACTCAGGCAGCTCCACTGCACGTGTGTTTAGATAATTAACAGCCCGTGGATTATGAAGAGTCTCACTTTTGGATTCTGCTACAGTGCTTGCCTTTAAGAACAATCCTCAGTCCTACTTAACCACCGTCTTTCATCAATCCATCTTTTCTGACAATTAAAAGCAAATAATTAGCTATGATGGATTTTGCTTGCTTTCATGCAGTGCAATTACATTTTTTTGGTTCTTAAATATTCCTTGACTGTGCAACTTTTTGGTAGCTTTGCAGCTAACTACAGCCAAGCAGGGAAGTTGCTGCTGTCACCAGGAGCACCTGGAAGAAGGGATTCCAAGAAATAAGGGATGTGCAAGGAGACCTTAATGGGTAAAGAGGGGGATCTTTATTCTTCTAGTCAGACTAGGGTTTCTGAGACAACCCAAAATAACTAGATGTCCTTGTGGCACCCATCTTCCCCACTGCCTCCAGCCTAAATCTTAAGGCCCCCGTAAATGCCACCATGACCATATGTTGCCTTCTCATCAAAGGATTTGGAGTAAATCCAAGTTTGTGCTGTGGACACAGCCTGCTGCAGGCTCCACTTTGCGTCGTGGAGCAATGTCTCAAGCAACGCAGTGTGGATTTACCCCATGTGTGGCCAGTGGAAACCGGAGGGAAGCCGAGAGGCAAATCTAGGTCTGTATCCCTTCTTGTTAGACCTGGCTGAACTTGTGGCATATGATTTGCTTGGAATTAGACATGCCGCAGAAATAGCGCTTTATCACCTTGAAGGAAATGAGGAAACCTTTCCTCTGCTTGAGTGGCCAAGAGGGGAAAGGAAGGAGAGGCCGATAATTCCTGGTGGAGTTCAGTAGGAAGCAGGGAGCAGACTCCGAGTGCCATGCAGTCTGTACAAGGGAGGAAAAGGGGCTTTGGGGCAGGGAAGAGAGCTGGGATATAAATGGCTGCAGTCCTTGATGTCTGGGACATGGGTTGAGCTGCACTGCAAATGGTTTGGGGGCACCAGAGATCCCATCTGAACTCAGCTCGCCGTGAAGAAACTCTCAGTTTTCCATTGATCATGTGCTGGGTTTTCAGCTCCTTAAACATTAGTGATTTCTTGAGTGTAGGCTTGGCTTAGCAGCTTAATGTTTGCAGGTGTATAAAGCAGCTGATGTTTTCCTCCCTCCTAACAGGATTTGGGCCTGGGTTTCCTTGGATCCCAAGCTGTTAAAGGGCTGGACTTCATGCTTGGTGCACCCTGCAAAACCTGGTGTTCTCCCTCCCACTGCCCATGCAGCTGGGAGGTTGCCAACCAAATCTGAATGTCATGGTAAGATTCTCCCTTGCATGAGGTGGTTAGTAACTCTGTCCTAAATTTTCATCCTGCCTAGGAAACCTTTCCAGAGAAGGTTTTGCTTGAAAAATTTCTCTTTTCACGGATCAAAGCTTTTCATTTGCTCCTATTCATCACTTCTCCCATCAGGAGAAGATTTCTCTCTAGGAGTTGATTTGTTGGTACCCACAGAAGAGCTTTTGCAGCATGAGGAGTTTTTCCCCTTAAGTTTCCAAGAGATGAAACTTGTTTTTGGCCTTTCCCCCCAGCCCTCTGTTGAAGAGAAGTTTGTGGCTGAAAACCTCTCTTCTCCCAGCTCTCCTGAGCGGGGTGGGGGATGCTCAGCAGCACCCTGTGCTCCTGCTTAGCTGGGAGAGAGGCGAGCTTGCTGATGGGGGCATCAGCTCTGCAGCTGCTCGTGCCATTGCTGTGACCAAATTCTGGCTTCAGTGGGCAAAATCCACGCTCTTGTGCCTTCCTCATCTCTGATTTTCCCTTCCTTCAATTTTCCCCTCCAGGATCTAGCTGGATGTTGCATCTCCCTTGCCCACTTCCCAGCTTATCTCCTTCCAATTAAGGAAGGGTTAATAGGGCCCTATGTATGAAAGGTTAGTACCGAGATTGTTTCTAGCAGGCTAGGAATTATGAGGCTCCCAAAGGCACATGGGGACAGCTAATTACTGCCCCCCATGTCCCCTGCTGCCACCGCTGCTGGCTGGGCACCTAATTGCTGCCTGCACCTGATTGCGTTTGGCTGCTGCTGTTGTGGTTAATGTGCAGATCGTGCCTGGGCTGCTGCTCCCCAGCTTCGAGGTTATTAATGAAAACCTTATCTCTCTGTGCAGATAACGCCAGAAATAATTAATGCTCAGCTAGGACTGCCAGGCAGCTCTGCTGCTTCACCATGTCCCCGCGGTGGCTCTGGGCCGAGCCCGTGTCCTTGTCCCCGAGCCCCTTCTGGCCCCACGTAGGTTTGGGCTTCAGAAACCAGGGCAAAGAGGCCAAGTTGAAAAATAAAAGCGAATTTTCTTGCTTGGGGCCAGCCCTGGTACATACAAGAAGAAGGATGGGCCAGCGCTCAGCGCCACGGGACCCCATGGGCCTGCAGATACCCAGTCCCACTGGTGCCGGGGATGCAGGAGTGGGGAGGCCTGGCACTGCCTTTGGACCCAGTCCCCTCCTGCTCTCCCTCCTTTCATCTGTTTCCTCATCATTGTGCTTTGAATCACCACCTCTGGGCTTAAGTCTTGCAGCCCGAGAAAGGACAGGGGCTCTTCCAGAGTGCCTATGCTGGCATCAATAATTTCAGCACAAGAGGGAGATTTACAGCAACATCAATGTCAGGAGTGAGCCCGGTTTGTATTAATGGTCTTATTAGTTACGTTGCTGTAAAACAGCAACACTCAGGTGGTTCAGCTGCCCTGGCTCTGCTCAGCAGCGTTAATTTCAATGGGGGCTTTTGGATGTGAATCTCAGTGCATCCCAGGAGAAAATCCATCATGATGCATCAGATGCCTTTAAAATGCCTGAAATTGCCTTTAACTACGGCAGGCATGGGACTGAAAGCTACGGTGGGAGCCCAAGTGCCCCATCCGTCTGCGTACGGCCGTGTCCCCTTGCGGGATGGGGCCACCGCGGCGGCGGGACCGGGTGAGCACCGCGGCTGGGCAGCCTGTCCCCGCGAGCGGCCGCGCGCCGTCGGGAGCCCGCGGTAATTGAAATAAATGATGCGTTTAGGGGAAGGAGCGTTCCGCCTTGCTGCCAACGTTTATTTGCTTGTTTGTTCCTACTGGTGGCGTCTGGAGGCGAGGAAGGGCCCGAGGAGACGGGCACGAGTGCGGGGGCACCTGCATGCAGCGCTGGCTCTGGGTGCTTGGGCTCCACTTTCCCCCAGATCAGGGCCCCAGCCTAAGTGCAATACCCGAAGAGCAGAAACCTTCCCAAATTCATGGGGGCTAAACCCCCTTTTCCCTGTGGATTTGGCTCCGCATGACCAGGAGTTCCCCTCTGCTCTACCCGCTTGCTCCTGGGCTGTTCCCTCCTTGCTGTGTCTCAGTTTTCACCAAATAAGAGATTAAGAGCAGAAAACAAAGTCTGATCATTTGGCCTGATCCAGGGGCCCTGTCCCCAAGCTGGTGACACCAGAAAAGCTGGCAGGGAAAATGTTGCTGCTGGCTCACCCGGGATGCAGGGCGCCGAGGGGAGCTATCCTGTGGGATGCAGTCGCTTTTGGCTGCTGGGCTTTTCTCTGAGAGAGTCTTGTGTGTTGATTTGTTTAATTATTCACCCTCCTGGCTTTATTGGGGACCCCCAGCAGCGGGGCTGTTCTCCATGCCCGGGGCACCCCACGGGCATTGCCCTGCTCGCAAAGCACCCGCTGGCACCGTGCGTGACGGCCCAGGTCACTGCTGAGGAGCGAGACCTGGGTCTGGCTGCTGCAGCTGGGAATAACGGGGAGATAATGGAGATTTCTGCCCGTTTGCACCGCAGCCCCAGCTGGCTGGGTTTAATCGCGGCTGTGCCCAAAATAGATGTTGTTCGTGCAGCAGCCGGCGCTGCAAATAGCTCCATCCCTGGGAGGAGGAAGAGGAGGAGGAGGATGGGGAGCACCACCCATACCCATCAGTGACCTGCAGAGTGCTGAGGTTTAACCCCTGCCACATTTCATGCGGTTGTTAGGCCAGTGCGAGCCTGGCGGGGGGACACGTGTCTGTTTTTTATTGATGCAGCCTTAACCGATGCATTAAGAGCCTGCGATGCTCACGATAGCCCAGCTGTAAATCCGCTCTGAAGAATTTATAGGGAGAATATCCCCGCGCCGTATCACCCACACAACTGCGAGGGCCGGGCGGCAGCAGGATGTACTGAGGATGGGAGAAGCGACAAGCGCCCGGCACGGGTTTCCTCGGCCCCTCAAAGGTGCTGCTGCTCCTGCATCGCTCCTCACCTGGAGCTGATCCCGAAAGCCTTGGAGCCCTGGAGCAGCGGGAGCCACCAGCCCTGCGGCTGCTGTGCAGCCCCCCAGGGACCTGCTGTGCCCAGGCACCTAATTGCTAATCAGCAGCTGGCAATCAGCTCGCCCTGCTGAAGGTGACTCCTGCAGCAAGAGGGGTGTAAAAATACAGGCGCTAATCAGCAGGGTTCAGTACGTGAGTGCAGGGCCACAGCGTGTGTGCTGGGATGCTGCGGGGAACGGTGTCCCCCCCTGCAGCACGCTGGGGAGCAGGAAGCCCAAAAGAGCCACGTCCCGGGACGCCGGGGAGAGCTCTGCATCCCAGGAGCTGCTCTCTGCTGGCTCTCGGAGCAGTCTGGATTCTCCGCTCCCAGGCTGTGCCGACCTGGCTCCAGAAATAGAAGCAGGTCAGTCCTGCCGGGGCTGCGGCCGGAGCGGAGCGTTCGCTGTCCATGAGCATTAGGCGACTGCCCGCCCGGAGCGCGGCGAGGACGTGCAGCCCCGGCGCGCGCGTGGCGGCCGTGGGCACCGGCGCTCCGGCTGGGCCCTGGCGCCCGGGATAAGCGCAGATCCCTCCAGCCACGCGCGACGGAGCAGCTCTGTGATCCCAGGCATTTTAGCAATGCTTTCGGATGGAGCCGATGGCTCTCCCGAGCAAGGGGGTTCGCGCTGCAGCGATGGCAGCTGCCGCTCTGCCCACGTGCCAGCCGTGCGCCACGCTCAGAGTCCAGCACTTCTTGCCCCGATATTTGGCAGCTGGATTGGTGACACCTCGAGCCATTTGCGATTCCCGGGCCCACGGTGCCAGGAGAGCTGGAGGCTCCCATGGGCTTTCCTGGCTGGAGCTGATGCAAACGCTGTTCTGAGCGAGCGCTGACTCCTGCTAATTCTGTATTTATGGCAAGGAAGCGATTGAGTTTCTCGGTGCTTTTCTTCTTTCTCAACTCCCGCTGCCTATTGTTCCTGCTCCATTATCCTGGAGTGGCTCCTGTCCGCGGCGCACGGTCTCATTTATCCAAGGTCACCAGCTCTCACTGGGCTCCGGAGCATCTGCAAAAAGGACCGTTTTTCTCCCCATTTCTGCCATGCACAGGATGGAGGCAGGAGGCTGAGGGGATCACACGGCTGCACCTGAGCCCCCCCAGCCGTCCCTGCGTCCCCTAAAGCCCAGCCTAGGCCATCAGGCCACTCTCATCCCTTCCTAGGTGCCAGCTGACACAGAGCTGGCCGTGACCCTGCTGTTGGTGGAGGGACCGCGACCACCAAACGGGCAGAGAGGGGCAGAGTGGAAAGGGGGAGATCCCCCCAGCCCCCTGCTCTCCG